TCACTGAGCCTTACTTTGATACCCAAAAAGATACTAGGGCAAATTACTAAGCAATTAATTTATAAGTACATAGAAGATAATAGGACAGCGGGTTTCAACCTTTTTTCATTTGTGGACCCCTAAAACATTTTGAATGAAGATACAGACCCCTTTGGAAATTTAGCATGGATATGCGGACCCCTTTGAATTTTAAGTGTGGGTATTCACATACTTTTGATTGATCATAGGCATCTTTCATGGACCCTTTAGACATAGTCTGCAGACCCCCAGGCATCCACAGACCACAGTTGAAAAACACTGTAATAGGATAATAGAAGCAGTCAGGATGGATTTATAAAGAACAAATAATGTCAAACCAATCTAATTCTAATTTATTGGAAGTTTTTAAGAACAGATTAAGTAAACATACATCAGCAATGGTCTAGATATACTTCTTCCACTTCAGTCTAATAGAGGGATGGAGTAGATAATCTCCTGAGGTCTCTTCCCACCCTACATTTCTCTGATCTACCATAGCGCGAATCAGTTGAGAGTTGAATGGAAATGCCTCAGCAAGATTGGAGTTCCTGTTTTTCATAAAACTTACAAAACCATTAAAAACACAGCAGTGTTTTTAAGGTGTGAAGGTCTTAAAGATAGAACGTACTGATGCATAATACTGTACTGGAAATTTATATTTCCTCTGTGACCAATTTATGGCATACTGTACTACTTTACTAGGTACTGCATTTCACAGATTTTGGATAAGTTAAATGTTGCCTTTCTGAAATGAGTACCAATTATGAGAATCACTGTAAAGCAGAAAACTACAGTAGATATAAAGTTCTCAGGACCACATTTCTGAGTGTTGGACATCTCAGTATGATTGCCACCATGGAAGCATATATGGATGATAATGCTGTTATAGTATGTATGGGCTGTCATGAAAATCAAAACATTGCTGACACAGTTCACCATGTACTTTGACTGATACCCTAAGAAGTATGTTACATGCTAAAAAGAAAGCACCCTATCAAACTCAAATGAAATTTACTTCTATAAATCATTATTTTATGAATTTTTTGTTGTGCAACTTTTTATGCTACAAGCATCTCTGTAAGAGACTGGAACCCAAATAGAGAGGACCGTACATAGCCCCAGTAAACCAAGATGGCTGGTGGGGTCTGCCTGTGCGCTGCCCAGTCTAGGCCCTCAGATATTTTAATATATACATTTTTATAATAATGTCCACTAAGGGAATTTTGCTTTTTTTAAATGCTCCACAGAAACCAAGCAGAAATTTAATATCGTAATTTTCACTTTTATCATCAGAAGTAATCATACATTTAAGTTTTCTGCCTTGGAAAAAAAAGAGAACCAAATGTAATTGAATTGAAACTGAAATTGAGAACCCCCTGTAAACTGCTTGATACTTTGGCCTAAATCCTACTTTCATTTCTGCACCCAAGTAGCATTTACATAGCTCTGTAATTGCAATTTTCGGCACTTGCATATCATTTGGATTCTATTTCCACCTGTGTCAAAAAAGGATTGTCCAAGTATACCTGTCAGAAGTAAGGCAGTAGCAGGCCTCCAATAATTTGGCCCTAAAGCAGGGGTGGGCAAAATATGGCCTGTGGGCCAGATCCAGCCTGCCAAGGCATTCCATCCAGCCCACAGTGGGTACCTCAGCCACACCCAGCCCCAGGCACAGGGAGCAGCCTGAGCCATGTCATGTGCAAGTGGTCCCGTGGTCCTGGGAAACACAGTAGGGCAGGGGCAGTACAGCCGACAGACTTGGCTTTCTGGCAGCCCCTGCAGCAGCAGCTCATTCTGCCCAGCTGCTGCTGGCTGCATCTCTGCCACCACTGCTGGACCTGGCCCCACTGCCTGGGCACCCCAGCCCATCAGCTCCATACTTACTGCTGGGGTCGCTGGACTGAGTGGGAGGGTGGGTGGATGGGGTCTCCATGGAGAGTGGCCCAGGAGCTTTGTAAGCAGGGTGTGCTTGGCCCACAGTGAGAGTGGCATCCAGGAGTGGGACGGGTAGGTGGGACTGGGATGGCAGGGTAGTTACAGTGCAGGGCTGGGGCCCAGGGTACAGCCACAATCCACTCTCTGCATGTCCCTGTTATGGGCACCAGTTCTGCATATATACCTGCAGGCAGGTATATACAGGGAGAAGAGAAGACTGTAATTCTGTCCTAGGCCCCCTCCCTGTGCTGTCACTGTCCCATGATCATGGCCTTGCCCACCTGTTCTGCTCCCAGACACTTCTCCCTGCCCATCCATGGCCCCATCCCATCCGCCTGGTTGAGCACACTCTGCCTGCGGGGGTCCCAGGCTGGTATCCATAGAGACCCCGTCCACTTGCTCTGTCCAGTGTCCCTGGTGGTGGGTGAGGGAGGATGGGCCAGGGGCTAGAAAGGATCAATTCACTTCCCCAACCCCGCAACCCCAGGTCAGGCCCCCACCCCTTCATCACAGTGGATCAGCATCTCCCTCCCCAGGGCAGCAACAGCTCACTGAAACTCCTTAGGTGGCCCTGCTGCCCAAATAATTGCCCACCCCTCCCCTAAAGCATCATGGTTAGGGTTCTTTCCCAGGAAGCAGGAGACCCAGTTTGGCTTTGGATTTGCATTCAGGGTCTTCCTCCAAATAGGGGACAATTATCCCACTGCTTGTTTTTTAGTTAAATAATATTAACTACAATGTGCCAGAGGCATTAAGTGCCAAAGATAGCAGTTATGTAGCCACATAAGCCACATATATATTTCGGAGTATAACAGTGAAACAGGATTTGGCCCTTTAAGCCTGTTTTGCATGGCAAGTATTTTCTAGCTGTTACAGAAGAAGACTGCAAGCCAGAACTCTGTGATGTTAGACTTTGCTTACTGATTAATTCTGTAAACTTTTAGCAAGACAAACCACAACCTTTCTTTTCCTAAATAAAGGGGGATACAAACACTTTCCTACATTAGTTGGATTTAATTCATCGAAGCCTGTGCTTTGAAATTCCCCAATGAAAGGAGCTATAGTAGGGCAGAGTGGTATCTCTTTATTTTTGTCAGTGAAATGTTTTCAGAAATCCAGAACTGATGTACTGGGATTGCAAAAAGAAAAATACAAGATGCAAACTGTTACCACAAATGAGCTTTCTAAAAAGGAGACAAATGTTCCCTTCCCAATAAAGGAATTCTAGCACCTGAAAACTATGAGGATTAAAGAGAATGTAACATCAGATTGCCTGCATTAACAATAAGCTATTTCTGGTCATTACACATCTTAGGCACTATCGTTAGAAGAATAATGTTATTTTTATTTTATTTTGCTTCAATTTAGAATAAAAAGCATCATAACCTAGGCTTTGAATACTATGCCAGTTTCCTGGCTTCCCTTCAAATGCCAAGCAAACATGTGTCAGCTAATAGAATTCTATCCAAAAGTTTTGTGTTCTATTTCACCAAGTGAAAAACCTTATTGTACCCTCTGTGTTCATAAGCACCCTATTGTATGAATAAGGAAAAATTTGCATGTCTCTAGAGGGCAATCCTATTCCTGCAGTGCGGGCACTTATATGACCAGAGCGGGTAATAGAACTGCCCCTGTACTTTAGTCAGGCAACTTAGTTGGTCACAAGCTGAACTATGGTAATCCACCATGTGCAATAGAATTAAATATACTATGAATACTTCCATTTCTTTAATTATTAGTCAATATTTTCCATTTAAAGTCTTGCCTACACTGGAAAGTTAATTTAGATTAAGATAAGATGTGAATTTAAAGTGCATTAGCTATTCCATAATAATTCCATGTATGAATATTAATTTTAGTCTACTCTCAAAATGGATTAAACCAAAGAACAACAAAGCATCCTTATTTTGCAGTTAGAGAATCCACATACAGAGTTATTGTAGAACTAGCCAATTGCCCTTCAGGAATGACAGGGGGGCAGGGATGGAATGCCGCTGTCTCCCAGGAGCAGGGGCGGGGGAGGGAAGGGGGAAGCTTGCCCCGACATCCCCTCCATCCCCCTCAATCAGCACCCTGTGTTGCCACTGCCTGCAGGAAGCAGGGGTGGGAAGGGAGGGCAAGGCCACTGGCACTGGCTTCTCCCCACTCCAGCTCCATTGCCACCACCTGCAGGGAGCAGGGGCGGGGGAGGCCAGCAGCACTGGCCTGGCCCCCCTGCTCTGTTGCTGCTGCTTGCAGTGGCCAGTGGCACTGGACTCGCCGCCCCACTCCAGCCACTCCATCCCTGTCATCATGGCGGTGCTCAACTTCACCACCACCACCGCCTCCTGTCCAAAACGCTCTTGCAGCACTCTGATTGATTGTTTCAGACAACCAGTAGGAGCGCGAATAAAGTGCTACAGATAGACAGACATACAGACAGACTAAGGCTTTATAATATTAGAATAATTTACTTCTGAATAGCTAATCTGTAATAAAGCCATCTCCCAAGACTTTAGCTTCTGTCCAGAGCAAAATTTGATTTACTCTAAGGATTTTAAGAATACCATCTCATTTCTAACTCCTAAATCTTGATTACTGAAATTTTAAACAATTTTCAAATCCTTACATATTGGGATGCATTGGGAAACAGACAATAGTATTCTACTGAAAAATATCTGTAAAAGGAACACACAGATGTAAGCCTCTGCTGTCAAGAAAAAATGGGAACCAACTCATCCAATAAAATAAACCCCATAATAGTGCTAATATAAAACTAATTTAACTTAATGTGAGTGTCACCTACAGAAATGCTGTGTACAAAGTATTCTGAATGTTTTACTGAAAGTAACTGTGAAATAAAGAAGTGATTAAAATAAAAGTGTTCTTTAACCAGCTGCCTGAGGATTGCATTAAACTAAACCCTTTTATAAGATCTGAAGCCCCTTGGGTTACTGAAAATTACTGTAGTGAAAATTATATTCAAGCTGCAAATTAACAGCTTGCCAGATGCCCCTTTTAAGGCACTGCAATGTACAAAACAAAACACTGTGATTTGATAAACTTACCAGGCTCACACATGCCAGCACTCTGCAAGTAAGTCCGACATCGCTCTTTGTGCTCCTCTAATGAGCTTCTTTGCTTGTAACTCCGTCCACAATACTCACATTTGTACGGTTTCTCCACTAGGACAGAATGACAGCAGGACAAAACAATCAAAAGATGTGGAAGAAACACTGTGATTTGACATTCTAGTACAGAATTACTGATAGCTCATAACTGGAGAATACTTCACATTTCTGTATAACTGGATAAAACATTGTATTTGTACTATTAAGGTTATTTAATACTGAGATTCATTCTGGCATGAAGAGCCCATAAAAGGTTCTCTTCATTCTTTAAGTCCACCATTAGCATACTACAGCAGAAGTCTTCTATACACTACAAAAGCACCAAAGGAGAACTCAGGGTGTGTTGGTTGTAGCTGTGTTGGTCTAAGGATGTAGGCAGACAAGGTTCTTAGGGTAGATCTGATATCTTTTATTAGACCAACTAAAATACAGTAAAAGCTGTGCTATCCGGCATCTTACAAGCCGGCATGCTCTACTAACTGGCATGCCGGCTTGTAAGATAAAGTGAAACCGGAAGTGCCCACCCTGTTCTGAGGTACAGTTATAGATTTTGTACTCTGCCCCCAAACCCAATAGATTAGTCATATTTTTGTGAGGCCCAGGGATAGGAGTTTCACCCTAGGAAATTTGTTAAGTTTATAAAGAATTCCTAAAAATGTCTGAGATTTTTTAACTAGGTATGTTTGAACAAAGCAAATACAGCACTTTGTGTAATGAAAGAAATATCCAGGTAGTATATAAAATACATCTATAATAGATATGTATCTATTGATACCATGATAATATTATTAATGTAAATTATGACCAATTAATCAGCCTCCTTATTCTTTTTAATAGAAGTCTTATTTATTTGTTTCTTCCTAACTCATTCACAAAAAGCTTCTGACTGTAAGATTATTAGCAGTAATTCCCATAGTTTGGCAACTGTGCAAAAGTGGGCTACTGTTTTGCTGACTGAGAAGTGTTTGAAACATGACATTCTATCTCACTCTTGATGAAGGACTGAATTTAGTATTGCTGTGTTGGAACCTGGTCAAATCATGATCTTATTTATTCATGTCAAATCATTTTATTTTAAATGGACTCTTTGTGGAGTTAAGCCTTTTTTCTATGAAGTGTAGTACCATAGATAATATCGATTATTCTAAATTAATGCTTTCTTCTGAAATCTATATGTAATACAGGACATGTAAAAATCAGAGCAAGTGAGATCTGGCCATTAAGGAACAGGATTAGGACACAGAGTTTATTGGTTCGATTCCTGATTTTGTGAGTGACCTTCAGCTCTGGGAGAAGTTACCACAGCTTTGTGCCTCTGCTTTCCCATCTATAAAATGATTAAAAAATCTTATTAGGGCATTGAAAGAATTAACCAACATGTAGAGTTCTTTAAGATATTCAGATGAAAGGCACTAAAAATAAGGGTAAGGTCTTGTTCAGCAGTAGAGTATTGTCATCCAAGAGAGTCATTCTGATGACATAGCTCTAATGGAACATTTTTTACTTCTGCTTCAAAAAATGGGAGGTTGATGGCTTGGCCACATCACGCAACTGACAGACTACACCCAGGGGTTATATAGTATAATGAAATACAGTAGCTAAGCTTTTATCATAGCACTTTCTCGTAGAAGTAGAGCTGTCTATGAATTCTTTCCTCCAGCACACCCTATACAGAAGGCCATAAATTAATTCCTACATGGAATTAACTATAAGGAAACCTAGAGGTCCTTGCTAATTTTTAACTCACCAGAATGAGACAGGCAAATTAAACAACATTGATTATCCCTTTTTATTTACCACAACTGATGTCCTAGTGACACACATTGATAACAGGTGAAGTGTCTTTGTAGTCACTTACCAGAATGTGTCCTTAAGTGACCTGTTAGCGCATCTCTCCTTTGGCAGGCATAACTGCAAAGATGACATTTAAAAGGTTTTTCCCCTGTGTGTAGTTTAATGTGGCGGAGAAGGTTACCCTTCTGAGTAAAGGAAGCTCCGCACTGATTACACTGGAATGGCCGTTCACCTTAAAATGACATACAAAAAAGGACATTTAATGGTTACATGGGTAACACTTCCCCTCACCCTTTCCTTTTTGAAACAGGAAAGAATGAGATACTGGATCAGTTCCTGTGCTTAGACATGTTACTTCCATTGACTTTACTGGAAGTTACAAGGGGGTCTGGTGATAGAACTTGGCAAAATGCGTCCACTCCAATTCAATTTATGAGAAACATATCAAATGTATATAGTCTTTTCTGTGGACTGGAAATAATTGTTCTGAAGGAGGAGGATTGTAAAGTGCTAACAAATTTTAGGAAAAAAAATCTTTCCTTCTTTTAGGTCTGTATTCAATGTGATTGTTGGTTTGTTGCTAGGCAACGTACAAAGAGAGACATGATCCAGGAGCCAAGCAAAACAACTTAACTCATGATTTTTGACCGAGGTACTTAAGAGAAGTGCTAGTGCCTTTCATCCCAAATTCTCAAAAAACCTCACAACCATGCTTTTCCAAACATTTGGCCCTAATTAGATAGCTAAATATCATTGTACTTAATTTGTAAATAAATGAAATAAGGCACAGAAAGCTTAGGTAACTTGCTGAAAGTCACATATGCAAAGTCAGGAACAGAAGCAAGGAGCCAGCAATCCTAGGATCCTACCCACTTTTAACCAGTAGTTTCCTCTAAAATCACATGCTTTCAATATGTAGCTCTTGCATGAATAATATAGGGATATTTACCAGTGTGGCTACGCTTGTGAACCATCAAAACATTGAGGCTAATGCAGGCTAAGCCACAGATATCACAGTTCATCTTTCCACTAGTTGGCCTGATGTTGTCATATGGACCTGAATGTCTCTCCAG